CCAATAAAAAGATAAATAAAAATTTCAATGCGAGCGTAGTGCTTGAACCGCTCTATTTTCATACAGCAAAATCAGGGGTATAATGTCTAACTTTCAATCTAACACGAATCTAAGATTCAGTTGCTAAACAATTTCTTTGGGGACTTGAAATATTATTGAGGAAAGATTTTTTTACTTATATATGTAACCAAAAGCAAAGTACACAGTTTTCTCTCTTCAAACAATTTGATCTCTGCAGAAATGATATTCAGTGATTTACAAAAAAAAACTGTAAATTTATCAAGAGTTGAAAGAGATTAAGAGAGAGTGATTTTTTTCGTAATTCTGCATAAGAAAATGTTTGTCAAACAAGAGTGGTCCATTATAAATTTATCAACTTCCGCCCACTCAAAAATTGACTAATTTTTAGAGTAGTGCAGAGTGCCACTGGGAATTGTACCACGTGCCACATGCGGCACGCGTGATATAGGTTGACGATCCCTGCTCTATAGTATGGATATTAGGAGAAAAATAGTTAATAATAATAATTTTAAAATTTAATACAGCCACAAAGGGGTTCAATTTTACAAAAAAAATGGGGAAAAAACCCAATTTTGGTTAGATGATTTTGGATTCAATATATATATAGTCTAAATTCTCTACAAATAAGAGATGAACATTTATCAAACAAGACTGAGATTGTAGAAAACCTTACATTGAAGGGCATATGAGAAATTAAAATTAAAAAAAATGGATGCTGCAGTATTATAAACATTGCTTATTTAGGACAGCTTATATATAAAATAATTTATGTAAAAGTGGGGTTGAACAGGTCTTGTAGCCAGCCAACCTTCCCCCTTTATGTTAATAATACTGAGCAAAAACCTATTGAAAATAATGGATAGAATGCCTAAGTCCATTACAAAATAGAGGTAACTTACCTAAAAATTGCACTTGAAAATGCAGAGCCCGCGCTAAATCTGTGAATGCAATAAATAAGTTATTACCAGATTCTGGACCTTAATGCAGATTTAAAGCATGTGAATGGCTGAAATGTAGCACTTAACAAAAGTATGAAAATAATAGAAATAAAAATTAAAAAGGGAGTTTACAAACTGCCATAACTTTGGTGTCACTAGAGTTATATATCAATTAAATAATAAGTAATTTTATCTAATATTAGAATATGAAGGCAACTATAACTAGGGAAAACGATAAATTTATAGTAATATATAAGCTAATATTATTCTAAGATCCTTACTATTAAAAATGTCTTTCTTCAAATAACTATTAATAAAATTAATTGGGTATTTCTGAATTAAGCAATATTTTATAAAATGTTTATAGTTATATATATATATATATATATATATATATATATATATATATATATATATATATATATAATCCAATATAAAAAAATTTCAATATATAATTATATACATATACATACACATATATATAAATTTATACATATATATACATATATAAACAAAAATATAAAAATAAACATATTTATATACCTAAGATAACTAAAATTAGGAAGAAGGCACATAGTATAATGACAAACTCCTGGCCTTAGGAACCAGGATTGCAGGTTTAAACAAGTTTTGCGGCCAGCCAACCTTCACCTGTAATTTGTCATACTATGTACCAAGAGGAAAGGAAAGAATTATATATGTAGAATTTAAATATTAAAAAATCATTAAACTAAATAACATAAGAACAAAAACAGAACCTACTAATTCGGAGAGTAAACGATGGCCAAGAGTGTAGTACCGTGTTCCCGCCAAATACGAGGGGTGAGAGCAGTATATATATATGTATATATAAATATGTATATAATTATATATATATATATATATATATATATATATTTCTTATTTTTTTAAACTAAAAATTGATTGCGCTGTATATAATTGTAGATAATATATATATATATATATATATTTCTAGAATGTAGACAACCAACCCAAAGCGATGATTATTAATAAATGAGGGCTAAATAGTGAATAGTACATTTCGTAACCTCAGTTCTCTCTCCCTACACTATCGTATCAGTCCAATCCAAGCATTTTTTCGTTTTCTGCTTTATCATGCACACATCGTATTTTTTAAAAAATTTTATACTAAATAAGCTGTTAAATCTATTTGATGTTTTTCTCTTGTAACTATACATTGGATGTCCTCTCATTGCAATAAAAAGTACAGAAACACCTGTTTTTCCTTTAATATGAACTTACTATACAAAAACTCAGATACTTAAACTTCATTCCTTTGTGGCAGTATTTAACGTAAAAATTAATTTTTTATAGTATTTTTCATTTCACCTATATATCAGAGAACATCTTTTACGCATAGGTAGGTTTTGAAATCCTGAAAAAAAATTTGATGCCCTTCCCCTGCTACTTATATCAATACTTATAGCTTTAGATAAAAATCAAAGGAATTTCTAATGGAAAACTTTTTTTGTAGACTAATGTTGAACAGTGCTTATTATTTTATTTTATTTTTTGAACCCCGTATTGTCAATATTTACACGTTTGTGTACATGGCTGTAAACAAAACGCTCTGTATAAAACATTGATTTACTCTATGGTAGGGGTCTTCAACCCGTGGGCCGCGGGCCACAAATGGTTTTTTTTCGGCCCCTCATTTGAATTTGCAGGCAATTTTAAAAAATTGCCTTGTCTACTTTTTGTCGTTGAAAAACGTCTTTTTTTTTCAGGTATTCTTGATAATTAAAACAACACTGATGTGTTCAATATCAATTTGAGATGAAAATTTGACGAATTTTCAAAAATTTCATTGTATTATAAATAATTTTAGTTATAAAAAAATCTGACTATGCATAAAATATCAGAATTTTTGAAAAAAAAATGGACTCTTATCTTCAACAGTTTTGAAAAGTGTTTTGATTCGACTTCCATTTAACTTTTCTGAAACCGATATATATGTATATATACAAATCTATAAACACCATATCTTCCCTTAGAATCAATTATTGTCTTGTAATACACAAACCTCCTTTTTTTCAATTCCTACTATTAGCTCACACTCTCTATATACTTATTTATTTATATATTTATCTTGGTGGAATTTTCAATCGTTAATAAAACACATTTTAAAGCGCTCAATTGAGCTGAAATTTTATAGACATGATTATTTTGGATGACATTGCAGTAATTTAACTATAATTAATAAAGATTAATTGATTAAAACTAATTATTTAAAGAATTACAAATACAACCACGTTGGCATCATTTTTGGCGACTTAACGACCCTTTTGACGACTTGTGTCAAAAAACTTAAGGTTTTTTTTCACGTTTTAAAGCATTCAGTTGAACTGAAGTTTTATATACACGATTGTTTTGGATGACATACGAAACTTTAATGATAATTAATAAAAATTAGTTACCACTTATTATTGTGATTCTGTCAAATGTATATACATATTTATATTAATTGTAACTATGTAATAAAAAGTAAGTAAAATAAAATTTTTCTTTGTTGTTCTAAGTAGGAATTTGTTTTTATATAAATGTCCTGATTACAATATTTTGTTGACAATCATGTGGCCCACTGATCACTGTGAGTTTATTGATGCAGCCCGTTGTAAATTTGATTAATTTGTTCCTCTAGCGTAAAACGTTATAGACCACTACTCTATGGTAAGCTAGGTTTCTGCGAACTTATCAAAATTAGAATCTCATCTAAACAAAAGAATTTAGACTTTAATAGCAAAAAAATTTACTCTTTGAATGCAAAAGTTATTATTAAGTAGCAAGCACTTTGGATTTTATTCCACAGAAATATTTTAATAACGGATCTCGTAATTTTGAACTATGGTCAAGTGACGAGGATGATCCCTGAACTGCCCCTCTGGACACTATCACGCCACGACAACGGAAGAACTTTGAGCCTCGATAGGTTTTACGTGCTTCAGCCTCTTTATACTGGGGGAGGGGGTCTTCAGTGGTTCTAGAACCCGAACAAACCGAGCAATAGGCCACCGTGGCCACAGTTCTTGTTGAAGAGGTTTAAATATGAAGGGTCAGCAGATGATAATATTTTAATTATATCTTGAAATGCTCCTTAAACATTCGTTTTCTAAATTTATACTTCTAAAAAAAGAAAAATAAAGATCTATATATCTACCTAGACATAAATACATTTTTTAAACAAAAAATCTGATCTCATTGCAAATGTATTCAATCCCTCATGGTATGTATAGATTCGAGCTCAAACGCTAGAATGTTTTAAAAGAGGTAGTGGCGTAACGTACACCCCCGCAACCCCCGCATCGCGGGGGCAGGGTTCTAAGGGGCCCCAAGCCTGACTGACGCAAGTGCCTACCCTTTGTAAATTTCAACGTGGGGGCCCCAAGCCTGACTTTGCAGGGGGGCCCAAATGTTCTCCGTTACGCCACTGAAAAGAGGCCGCATTTACAATTTTTTGAGTAAATCTTAATTATATAAACTTATATGCAATGAAATGCAAGCATTCAATGAAATATCATTATTCAGTCGAGTGATTGAAGATACTCAGACAATTAATGATTTAAAAATACCTAAGCTTATGCTCATAAAATATCCTCAATAAAACTGAAAAATGCCCCTAAATACCAAAAAAGTTTACTAATAATGAAAGAGAAGAGGTATGTTAAAAATGAATACTAAACTACATATATTATTTAAAACATATATTAAAATTGCATTTTTACATAACAAGTAATATAAAAAATATCAAGTCATTTCCTACTAAGGTCAATAAAGAATTTTTTTTATTTTCGTTACTTTTTATTAAATAGTTGCAATTAATATAAATATGTATATACATAAATAAGAACAACACTATTAAGTGACAAAATAAAAAACAATTTTCCTTTCAATTTTTCATTTTCATTTCTATATAGGGTGTTGGATTATTTTTTTGTTTGTTACAATTTATTCATTAATTAAATTTAGTTACTATAATAAAATAGTATAGTAAAAAAGAAATCACATTCTCAGAAATTGGGCCATCCCAGGTGGGATTCGAACCCACGACCTTTGGATTAGAAGTCCAACGCACACACTATTCATAGTTGCACTACAGGGACACAACGAGCGATTTTCCTTTTTATATAGGGTGTTGGACTATTATTTTTGTTTCTTACTATTTATTCATTAATTAAGCTTAAGTAATGAATTAATATTTGAAAAAACTGTATTAACATCAAGTGTCATCCAGTACAAATTTAAAAAATTTGAATTTGAATGGATGAATAGAAAAAATTTTATTAATGATTGAAAATTTGAACATGATATATAAAGGGTGTTTTTAGAGGTATAGAACTTTAAATTGCAATAAAACAACGATGTATTATTCGATTGACATGAATTGTTTTTTATTCGAAAGATAATCTTGTGGCATTTCATTTTCAATATGATTTCTGGCATAGGACTGCCACGGCTGGCTCGGATGTAGTCCAATCTGCACGTCCAATTTTCGATGACTTTTTCCAACATTTGTGGCCGTATATCGGCAATAACACGGTGAATGTTGTCTTCCAAATGGTCAAGCGTTTGTGGCTTATTCGCATAGACCAATGACTTTACATAGCCCCACAGAAAATAGTCTATTGGTGTTAAATCACAAGATCTTGGAGGCCAATTCACAGGTCCAAAAGTGGCCGCGGTAGCCGAGTGGTATAGGTATCGGATCGTGGCTTGCCTGGTCACGAGTTCGATCCCAGTATCACTGAAGACCCGCCGTGTAGGGCAGCGATGCACGTTAAATCTGTCGAGAGCTGAAACGTCCTCCCATTGGTGTGGTGTGGTAGTTAGGAGAGGGGGGTGCCAGCTCAGGTGTCGTCCACGTCACTTGACCATGGTTCAAAATTACGTGGTCCGTCGCCAAAAGCCCTCGTGTAGCTGAACAGTGTGACGTTAATATTAAATCAATCAATCAATCACAGGTCCAAAACGTGAAATTAGGTGGTCACCAAACGTGTCTTTCAATAAATCGATTGTGGCACGAGCTGTGTGACATGTTGGGCCGTCTTGTTGGAACCACAGCTCCTGGACATCATGATTGTTCAATTCAGGAATGAAAAAGTTAGTAATCATGGCTCTATACCAATCACCATTGACTGTAACGTTGTGGCCTTCATCGTTTTTGAAGAAGGATTCCACCAGCCCATAAAGCGCACCAAACAGTCAGTTTTTCTGGATGTAACGGTGTTTCGACATACACTTGTGGATTAGCTTCACTCCAAATGCGGCGGTTTTGTTTGTTGACGTAGCCATTCAACCAGAAGTGCGCTTCATCGCTAAACAAAATTCGCTTATGAAAATCGGGAGCAACGGCAATCTCGTTTTGGGCCCATTCGACGAATCTACGCCTTGCTTGATCATATTTAATATGTAATACCACAAGATTATCTTTCGAATAAAAAAAAATTCATGTCAATCGAATAATACATCGTTGTTTTATTGCAATTTATTGTTCTATACCTCTAAAAAACACCCTATATATATAGGGAGATTGTGAACTAATTGTGGGAGTTGAAAAATATTTTGAGGAAAATATTGCATTTAATGACAATAATGTATTTGCAAAGATGCAAAGATTTGGTTATTCAAACTTTATCCAAATTTAATGAAAATTAAATTGCTTATGTTATTCATTAAAGAATTTTTAATGAAAAATATAGATATTTTGATGAAACATGTGGTACTTATAATAAATTTAACAATTCCAAAAAATTAAAAAAATTTTTTTTTGAAATTCTATTTTAGCTATATTAAAAAATTATTATGAAACAGCTTCATAATAATTTATTAAATTTATAATCTAGTAGCATTAATAATATAAATAAATTCAGTATTTAACTCCAAATTTTCAACAAAACAAAATTTACTGTTTATGGTAATAATTTTTCAAAATATTATACTAAGTTAATTTTAAAACCCAATTATCATAAAATTAAACTTTTCTTTTGTGAACGGGATTTGTCAGCAAATAAAAACTAATTTAATATTTGTTGTAAAAATGTATTATTGAGTTCATAGAAGCATAATAATAAGGAAAATATTAAGCTTCATTAAAAATTCGTCCAAACAAGCATTGCTTTCCGATAAGACATTATAAGAAAGAAAGGTTTTCTACACCAAATGCAAATTTTGAATGCTTCCCAATTTTCCATTTGTTTAATATAAAGCAAATATTAGCAAAAGCGATATTTCTGTGTCGCAAAAGAGTTTTCCGCTTCACTCTTTAATCCTCGATGACGCGAAAATAAATTTGCATTTTTTAAGAGACCGATGAATTAAGAGACATTTACATATTGTCATGGCAACGGGTGGAAAACAATTTCATCGTTGTCTATAAATATCACCTCAACTTATTCTTTTGCGTAAGATATTTTTCATGTATTATTCTTTTCAGAAAGTGGAAAAGTAAAAAAAGAAGCTTGAGGATTTTTTAAAATTTTTTGATATCATACTTTATATAATACCGAAGATTCATCACAATTCTTCGATTAAAAAACAGCAGTAGAAGAGATTTCTTTCCTTTCCTTATTGTAACAAATTTTAATTCATCGGGTTCAAAAGGGGCCCTATCACGTGTAATCAAGAAATCGTAAATTATTAAGGGTCTCCAAAAACGGTCCCCAAGGAATTTTTGATACTCAGGTCTAACTACGCCTGCGGCTCGAACTCATGACATGCTGGCCACAAGCTTACTTCCGCCACATTTATTGCTTTAATACGGAACAAAGGAAAGAGAAGATAAATTCGTTTGTGATGAAAAGGAGAATAACTGGTTATTTAATGTTTTTTCCCCTTATATTAATTTTTAGTATAATGATGTATGTTTTTCCCTTCATATTAATTTTTAATAATGATGTAGGCTTTTTCTTCATATTAATATTTTAATAATGATATAAGTTTTTTCCTTCATATTAATATTTTAGTAATAGAGAGTGCGTGTTCGTTTCCCTTGATATTACTATTTTGATAATAATACTTTCATTACACACAAATTCTGAGGAATACAAACGTTACCAATTTGTTTAATCTAGATTGTTTTTTTATCATCGTCGAAATTATAAAATTATTCAGCATCTATAAAATTCACCGAATCTTGGGTGGAACCACAACGTTCAGCTACGTATCTTTAACATATTTTTAGTATTAGAAATTTTTTTGAGTGTTTTTTTTTGTTTCAAGAATAAATCAAATTTTCGATAGTTGATCCATGATTAACATAGATGTTTTAATAGAAAATTTAACTTTAACTTTAACTTAATTTAAATTTTACTTTTCTTTTTTTAAATTTGTGTCTATCTACGTAAAGTTTACTTTCTAAACAGCAATGAGGATACATATTTCTGAAACTGAATGAAGGTAACAATTTGAGTATATATTTTTAAATTTACAATTAGCTAAATTTAATCCAAAAAATTCTTACAAAAATTATGCGCAAGATTAATTTTTACAGAAATTGTAAGAAATACTTTTTTTTCACATTTTACCAGAGAATTTCTTTGAATAACAATTATTTTCCTAAAAAGTATTTGAGCTACATATTATGTTTAGATATATAATTAATTTTTAAAGTCTATTATTATTAAATAAACTTGAAAAATCAATATAGTTAGGCAGAATGTTGAACTATCATTGGATGATAAATTTTATTTTGCTGTGCACATGCTTCTATAGTTTTCTGATATCTTATAATTTCTAATGAGTTGTTAAAATGTAGTGTTTTGTGGTTAATTTTTTTCTTCATTGTTAATGAATATGAATTATTGCACTCATCAAAGATATGATGTTGAATAAATAGAAATTCTTAAATTTTTTTTTTCACAAAGAGTAAAATAATTGTAAATTTATCCAGGACTGGTTTTGAAAAATCTGAATTCAGATACTTTCAAATAACTTACGGTATCTTACAATATTACAACCATGATTTTAAAAAAAGCAAATAAATGAATAATTTTTTTGAACTATTTAGGGTCACTTGTATTAGAATATATCTATAAAGTTGTCTTAAGTATATTATTACAAGAAAATTATTTCAATGCAAATTTTGGCAAAAAATGAAAACTATTCGAAACATTCTCTTTAATGAAATTAATTCTATAATTCTATAATAATAATACTTCGCCTGTATATTTTAAAGAGCCCGAACTAGGATTTTTGAAATATATAATTTAGAAGTGGATTAATTCATATTAACAAATCAGAATAATGAAAATATTCAGAATAATATAAATGAATTATTTTTTGAGATATTTAGTGTCACTTGAATTAGAATATAAATATAAAATTGTCTTAAGAATATTATTACAAAAAAAATTATTTCAATGCAATTTTTTTGGCAAAAAATCGATTTTTGAAATACATAATTTAGGAGTGTGGAGATTTATTTATATTAATATATCAAAGTAATAGAAACACTGGTTATTATTTTAATTGATGGTAAATTTGAAAATAATATGAATTTTACCAAATTCGCAGTTAGGGTTCTGTAGAGAAGTCTGAGCTATATATAGGCAAACGATTATTATTATAGAAGCATTTTCTGTAAAAAGGAGACTGTTTTGAAACACGTGTCATTCTTTCTTCATTTTTCGACAAAAACTACATTTAAATAATTTTTAAATGTAATAACATTCTTGAAGCAATTTTATAGGTATATTCTCTAACCTAAGTTACACCAAACATAAAAAAAAACATTCATTTATACGCTTTTGCAAAATCATGGGTCCGAAAATAGTAAGATACTTTTTCACTGACAAAAGTTCTTTGAAATAAGCTTACATTTTAAAAATACTTAAATTTGCAATTTGATGATTACTTTTTCGTTTTAATGTATAATAAATTTCCTAAATGAATTATAAAAGAAAAGTTTAATCTTTCGTTTTCATTATAAAGCATATTTTTTTTATCAAAATTGCGGATTTATACTAATAAAACTTAGACTTTAAATATTTAAAACCTAACTGATATATTTCTGCAAGCAAATCTAGGAATAAATAATAGTTGGATACTTGTTGACTTTATATATATATATATATATATATATATATATATATATATATATATATAT